TAGCATGTGGAGGCCAGGGGTTGACATCTGGTGTTTTCCTCTGTTGCTCTCCACTTTTTATTGTAACACATTTGTTTTGAGATGGTCTCACTGAAGCTAAAGCTTATCACTGACTAAAATGACTCTAGGATCTACCTGTCTCCATCACCCCATGGTGGTGTTACAGACATGTGCTTCAGTTCCTGGCTTTTAGGTGGGTGCTGGGAATCAGAACTTAGGTACTCATGCTTACACACAGTAAGTCATCCCCCACCCTCTTCAACACTGCTTTTGAGTTACTTTTTGAAAACAGCACAACTGTTTTTACATTATATACTTCTGGGACGGTCTCTGTGTCCAGTTTTCAGTGTGTCTTTCTGCGTTGGTTCCTGTAGCTTTACAATTAGTTTTGGAAATATCATTCTTTTTCTGAATTGTTTGGGCTCCTTCAGCTCTTTTGAATTTTAATGTAAATTTTATAGCTAGCTGATTGATCTGTATAAAAGAACTAGAGGGGATTTTGGTTATGGTTGCTTTGAATCTACAGAGAAAAAAATGAGGGGACTAGACACCTTGGAGTGTTCTAGTTAATGAACATGGTATATCTTTTATTTAAATCTTCGTTTTCATCAAGTGCTTTGTAGCATCTAGGTCTTCCAGGAATTTTGCCAGATTCATACCAAAGCTCTTTATTTTCCAGTGCTATTGCAAACATGCGTAGCATGTCTCTTTTCTTTTTTTAATATCTTATTTATTTATTATGTATACAATCTTCTGCATGCCAGTATAAGGCACCAGATCTCATTCAAGGTGGTTGTGAGCCACCATGTGGTTGCTGGGAATTGAACTCAGGACCTTTGTAAGAACAGTCAGTGCTCTTAACCGCTGAGCCATCTCTCCAGCCCCGAGTGTCTCTTTTCTGTAGCTGCTCTTGTTACCTGAAGATCAAGCAAGATAGCTGCCGCGTGCACGCTAGGCACGCACTCCACAACAGAACTGTTTGCTAAGCTCTCTTCAGACTTGAATATTATAGTTTTAGTGTTTGAACTATGATGTGCTAGCTGGGTTCCAGATATTAGAACAGCATCGCTCATAAACGGACGTACACCAGTAACGAACAACACAGCCGTCTAAGAACTCAAGAACTGCCAGTTATTCATTGATATGATGGAATGATGTGGGATACACAGGAAAAATGGTTAAGCAACAAAGCAGTTTAGCAAAAAGTAGAACAACTTCCACACAAATGTTTGAAAATTTAAAAATATTTGTGTAAGAAACATGGACCTAATAGAGTTACTTATTAAGTCTTTCTCACCTGAAAGTTGTTGGTTCTGGTTTTTTTATTATTGAGACAGCATCTCTCTATGTATTTCTGGCTGTTCTGAAACTCTGTGCAAACCAGACTGGCCTTGGAAATCAATGAGACCTGTTATCTCTGTCCCCCATGCTCTGGGATCAAAGGCATGCATCACCATACCCAGTTTGTTTTGGAATAGGGTGTGACTTTGCATTTCTGGCTGCCTTGGAAATGTGGCACTCAACCAGGCCTCTGCCTCCCAAATGCTGGAATTACAAGTGTGTGTCACTACCTCTGACTCTGAGAATCTTAAAAAGATAAACAACCCCCCAAAACAGCTTTTGGTGATGGAGAGATGGTTCAGTGGTTAGGAGCACATTTGCTCCTCTAGGGGGATATTAAGTCCATTTTCCAGCACCAACTTCCAGTAGCTCATGATTGCTTGTAACTCCAGTTGAATCTGTCACCCTCTTCTGGTTCTTTGGGCACTGCCCTCACACGTATACCCCCATGCACATATACATAATCAAAAATAAAATAAAACCTTGAAAAGAAACAACAGCTTTTTTTTAGTTATATTTCACATGCCATTAAATCCTGGATGCTAAAAAGCATTGCAGATGGAAACAATCAAAGACTTTACTAAATGGGCAGAATGTCCAATTCTACTTTCGAGATTATCCAGAGTTATGCAACCAGAAACACAATGTGTCTTAGAGTTTATCATTCCCCCAGAGAACGCTCACACCTATGGGGAGTCATTTCTTGTTCTCTTCTTCATCCCCAGTGCTGTACAAATCATTAGTCACCTCCTTTTATTTGCTTGTTGTGAGCATTTTACGTAAAGGTAATCAAGCAGTAGTTAGGATTTTCTGACTGGCTCATCCCACCTAGGCTACCCGCAGTGGGTCTTGTATTCACAGCTGTCTCTCTGTATTTGCCAAATAGCATTCAAATCTTTATATCGAGGGGCTAACGTTATGGTGAATAGCCCCAGAGGCAAGTCTCTAAGGATTGTCTCCCTAACATAGAATGAATGGGGTCGGAGGACAAATCGCTCCTTACATCTTAGTTTTACCTGTGTACCCAAGGAAATTACACACATTGTTGTAATTACCTGAAAAAGCTAACATGCGCTTAATAGCCTCTTCACCGCCATGCTCTCCAACTCCATTTCCATGCCTTCAGTTTCTCTGCTTTCTATCTCTAGAGGCAGCCATAACCTTGGGTTTGCTACAGATCTTTCAGTTCATCTTTAGGAAGTACCTCCTGGACACATACATGTGCGTATGCACGTGTACATGTGTGTACACATGTGCATGTATGCATGTGTACACGTGTGATGCACGTGTACATGTGTACATGCATGCATGCATGTGTACATGTGTGTACATATGTACATGTATATACGTGTACATATACTTGTAAGTCACACATTTCAAGATGCCTTCAATTAGATTTTGTTTGATGGCTAATGACAACTTCGACACGATGAAACACAGATCCCTGCATGTATTATTAAGTAGAACAAAAACTAATTATATCACTCTATCCTTTCCATCAATATTCATGTCATATAAATAAATCAGAATGTAACAGAAGCTTGGTATCCCAATAAGTAAATCTAATAGGCGTCCTAATAATTCATAGCATGCCCTCAGGATAATAGGGCATTGTTTTTCAGGTGGCTATTTTAATTTCAAAGAGGGTTCACGTCATTCATTTCAATGAGCTACAGATTCGGTGTGAGAGCAAAACATTTCAGTTTGAGGCTGGATCCTTAATTCATCTCATGTTCCCCAAATATCATACAATGCTATGTAGTTGGGGTTAATAATTCCACCAGCCATTTAAAAGAGTGGGGATTTGTAAACCAATCTAAACATCAACTGGGCATCATCTTGCTTCAAAGTGGTGGAACTGGAGAGGGTACTTCTGGTTACTCGGGTTTGGTCAGCAGTCACAGGCTGGCCCCATGGGTCTAACACAACCCCTGGCTCCCCTACAAAAGCTAAATGGCTATTGTTGGTCACTTCAATCTCCTGGATGTATTTTTTTTTTCTTGGATAAAATTACCACTCATCCCACAAAACATCTGCTGGCAGCTCATCTTCATATGTTCACACAGTTGCCTAAAAACCCTCACATTCCCCTGCCTTTCAAGAATGAGGGCTAAAAAGGTAAGCCCAAGAGATAGACCACGTGGTTATCTTTGGGGATCATCACCGTAGCTGACTGGAAAAATATTTTGAACTATCTTATGAAACACTACAGAAAGGACTGAATAGCAAAGTCCCTATGTGGAAATTATTTCATAAATTTTCATTCTCAGTCTTTTTATTTAGCAATCTACATTGCCACCTCAGACCACCCCACTAACTAAACTACGCGTTCTTAAATACTATATTTGTCATTTATTACTGGGGAAAAATGCCACTCCCTGGTCACTTGAAGGTCATCATCATTAGATGGTATGCAGTAAGGAGTGATGTATGGTTACAGGATCTATCCAAATGCCAATGCTCTTCCCCTTCTCCTGGACATTTGCCTAAACCGAGTCGTGAGGCATGAACAGAAGTCCCGCACTGGCGTTCTAGTTGAGTTTAGAGATGATGAAGAAACTAAGATATGCACAAGGCTTAGTTTGGATTTATCTTGGGAGCTTAATGATCGGAATAAAGAACCGTGCCTTTCTCAGCTTGTAATTAGCAGCCATAACACCTGTAATCATAAAAGCAAAATTGCATAGAATCTCGTGCAGGGCACTCCGGAGCCATCCCGTCCTCCTTATTGGATGGGAATGAAGGCCCCCGGCATATGCTAGATAAACGCTTCTGCTCTTCCCTCTGAATTTGATGCTGTGGTCAAATTCCTCTTCCTGTTCAATTAAAAAAAATCTTGGAGAGTATGCATTATTATTCCCATTCTTTAAATGGATTCCCGAGTGCGGTAGATTCAAGCAAAGGTTACTAGAACTAGAGTTGGAGATAGCCAAGCCTGCCTGGCTTTCTTTGCCAGGGGCCTACTCCAGAGCTGGGTGTAAACACACAACCGAGGGTCTTTAAGAGGGACAAGAGCTGTGTATCATTGCACACCAGGCTCTGCCACGCAACCGAGCGACCTTGGGTATTCAGAGTGCAGTGCCAGCCTCCCCAAGACAGAAGGTCCAGATCTACATCGCAGTTCAGGCAGGGTGAGAGAGGCCCGCGAGGCAGGGCCCAGGTTCTGACGCCCCCTCTGCACACAGATATAACGGATGGAAACCAGACTGCCACGCCCTCCCTCGCCCCAGACGGTGTGGTGACTCCGTTAGCCAGACAGCCCGCAACATGCAACTGCTGGGCGGCCTGGCCTCAAGGTGCTCAGTGCAGAACAGAGAATTTTCCAGCCCCGGCGGGAGAGTCCAAGGCGTGAGAGCCGGGGCAGGAGCCTGGGCATCTGGGGAGGGTCAGGTCTAGCTCAGATCCGCCGTCCAGCTCCCGGGTGGTGAACCTCTGCGCGCCGCGCGCGTCCGGGGTGGAAAGCTGGGCGCAGCGAAGGCCACACGCAGGGACGCATGCACACCCCTGGGAGGATCACAAGCGCCCTGGGTCCGGGACACCTGACCCGCCTTCGCGGCCCACGCCCCTCCCGGGCCCGGCGCCCAGGCCCGCCCGCCGCAGGTGGAGCAGCCGCGGCCCGAGAGTAGGTGCGCGGGATGATCTCACCGCGTGCTGCGCGCCAGGAGGAGGAGGAGCGGGAGGAGCGGGAGCCATCCCAACTTCCGGGTAGTGCCGCCGCACGCCGCGCCACCGGCGCCTTGCTTTCTGCTCCCCCCTCCCCCGTGTCCCCCTCGCCTCTCCCTCCTTGCCTTTTATCCTCAGCCCCACCCGCCAAAATGAACAGCTCGGACGAGGAGAAGCAGCTGCAGCTCATCACCAGCTTGAAGGAGCAAGGTAGGCGGCCCTGTGGGCACAGGTGCGGGAGCCGGGGGGGTCTCGGGCCGGACAGCTCCGAGCGCGGCCCGCAGGTGCCAGCCAAGGCCTTCGGGGGGGGGGGGGTCGCCAGGCCGACGCAGTCACCCGGCAGCTCAGCCGCGGTGGAGCGCTCCTGGAGCTCCGGGCGCTGCCGCCTTGCAGAGCCCTGGGCGGGGGAGCTGGAGCGTCTTCCCGCAGTGGGCGAAGCGCGACCTGCAGGACTGGGGGTCGCGGGACCGGGCGGAAGGGGACACGCATCGGGCATAGACAGGGCCACGGCTCGCACCTCGGTCCACGCGGGAGAAGCGAGCAGGGCAGGATCGCCGGGCGCGGGGTGGTAGCTCAGCTGGCCTGGCTCCCAGCAGAGGCCCCACCCTGGCACACTTAAGCGTTCCAGGGCCTGCAGCTTTCCCAGCTTTCCTTTGGGGTTCGGTCTAGTTCCTTTTTTTTTTTTTCTTTACCCAGCTGGGATTTTTTTCCCCCCAGGCCACCGATGCGTGCTCACCACTTCCCATTTTTAGCCATTTATTAGTCAGTGAGTCGACACCCCGCCCGTGTGTGTGTGTGTGTGTGTGTGTGTGTGTGTGTGTGTGTGTGTGTGTGTGTGTGTGTAGAGGGTCTCTGAGGGAGCTGGGTGCTGGAAAAGCCAGGCCGGTGTTGCATGCACGCGCGTTTCTCTACTGCTTGGTGGGTAGCTGGTGATTGTCATCAGCACATTGGTGAACAAAGCCAGATCCTAGATCCAGTTAACCCGATACACATAAAAAAAAAAAAAATCAGGTCATTATCCTGCTCAAATGGGTTTGAAAATATGGGTCAAGAAAGAGGAACCACTTGGGTTTAGGAAGTAGAAGTGTGCAGGGTAGGGCTGTTCTCTGAGTGACCTGCTGACACTGAAGGGGCCCTCCCTCCCCGCTCAGTGGCCTAAATGGTCTGACCCTTCCCCTTCTCTTGGCCCAACTAAGCAGTTCTGGGAAGTTGGTGTCTTCTCTTCCTGGAGTCTTGTGACTAAAGACAGGGACTAAGCCGGAAGGTTTAGAGGTCCCATCAAGGACTTGGAACTGCTGTTCTTCAAACCTTAGTGTCCACAGCACTGTCACCTGGGGGTGGGGTGGGGGAGTTCGTTAACCTCTCTGAAATGGATGTAGCACGCTCTCTATCTAGCGTCTAGAAACCCTGAATGGGTGTTAATGGCTTTCATTTTCCTCTCTTGTCCACAATTATTCCCAAGTCAACCCACACAGCACCTGTGACTCCAGCAGATGGACAGACTGCCTTACTTGGAATCTCAAGTGTGTTTGTTTGCTTGCTTGTTTGAATTGAGAACTTAATTTCACTAGTATTTATTTCTAATAGCACTTCACCGTGTCTCGTCACAACACGGAGACTTTTTTTGGATTCAGTTTTTTCTGGACCTAGTGAAAACTTTTCAGTGTGAGTCAGTACCAGATCTTTTGGTGGATGGTCAGTCTGCCAATGATAACAGAACAAAATAAAACGTTATCTCCTCTTACTCTGTTTGTGATTGTGAGAGTACACCAGCATGTCAATACCCACAAACACCTCTCTGGCCCTTTGCTGGACTGATGTTTGAGGAAGGCTTCTAGCTCCTTCTCTTCTGTTGTATTCAAAAATACATCCATGGGCTTGATGTTTCTGAAGGCTCCATTTTTCTGATGGAGGACTTGAACCAGAAGTAATAGAACCTAGGCTTATGTTTCTCAGAGTATCCCCGCCTCTCTCTCTCTCTCTCTCTCTCTCTCTCTCTCTCTCTCTCTCTCTCTCTCTCTCTCTCTCTCTCTCTCTCTCTCTCTCTCTCACACACACACACACACACACACACACACATTGAGACTGGTCACGTGGGTGTTGGAGTTGTTCAGTCTACAGTGAGATTTTCGTATCTTAAAACCAGAGTGTGTTTGTTAGACAGACCACAATAAAGACTTATTTAAGAGTATTTAACAGCTATCTGACCATGTGGAATTAGCTGGGAAGCCAGGAATTTGAGGTGTAAACATGACCACCAGGTGTCTGGGTTTGCTGGTATTATGGTCACTTTTTTTTTTAATGTCGATGGTGGGTTGTTGCCGTGGTGAGTCATAATTTGAATTTCCCCACGTAATATGAACAAGAGGAACATTTTTCATGGGTCCCTCGGTTTGCCTCGTTTAATGCTGATGCAAACGTGTTTTTGATTCTTTAAGACTCAGGTATGCGGCCCAAGTTCTAGAACATGTGGCTACTATAGACAGGGAATCCAGATGATGCTGACCCTTGGTAGACAGTCATTAATCAGAGGCACGCAGGCAAGCAGACTACTGTTTTTTTTTCCCCTAGGATATGTTCTTAGAAAATGGGATTGTTGGATCTGATGGCATGCGTATGATGGAGTTATGTCATCTGGTGCAAAGTTGTCAAAGTTTGGGTGCCCCCAGCAATGCCCTCATCACACACCCTGGATAACGCTGGCTGTCAGTAATCACTATCAGTTGGGTAGTCTATGACAAGTTTCTGAATTATTTTTGCCATTGGAATGGCAAAAAGGCCCCCTTTAAAATTGTGTGTTGCCCTGCCTATATTAGTGAAGTTCTAGTCCGCACATATTTCTTGGCCAGTTTTTGTCTCCTCCCATGGTTTCCCCCCTTCATGAGTTTTAAGTCTGAAACTTGAACCTATCCCCAGGAGGGGTGTTTGGGGCCGGAGGCTGCTTATGTGTACTGAGAGCTGACAGCAGTCTTCTCTAGTGGGAAGCCTTCAGTGGTGAGAATAAGGTTGTGCTTGACAAAAAGTTGTGAAATGCAGTGACGGAGCCTGTCATAATATGAACAATCTCTAATTTATATGTACCATTCCCCAAGCCCTGTGTCTTATAAATCACACCCACTTCTGAATTACTTCACAACATTGTATGTTCCCGTCTACTGAATGGTATAATTAGGTATATTATGTCTTTCTAGAAAGTTATATTATGTCCCTTAAAAAAAATTAGCCAGTGTGTGATTTTTTTTTTATGTTCAAGCAGATGCTGAGGTAATGAGGTAATTCTCCTTTTGTCTTCCTCCTCCCCCCAACGGGCTTTATTTTATTGGGCTGATTGACATCGTTAATGCACGGAGAAATGGCAACTTAGGATACTATTTCCGATGCATATTTCCCAGCTATCAAAGTGGACATTTCCCTTACAAAACATCATACAATTTTCTCTCTCTGTGGAATTATTTTGGAAAATGATAGACTTAGCTCAGCATTTGTTGAAGGTGCATGGCTTTCTGTGTGATTCATTCAACACGCATACGCTGAATATTCATAGCCAGGCACTGGGCAAGCATCGGAGACCAGCGGATCAGGCCTAGTGGCCGCTGGTGATGAGCTCTGGGCCTGGAGATGGTGTAAAAATCCAGGAAGCGCGTCTAATTGGCTCATGTGGGTCACGGGTTCTTGGTCTTTTGGTTAGGGAGCAGCTTGAATGGCACCCTCCACATGGATTACTGTTGCTGTCCAGAGCAGAATGGGCCACCACCACTAAAGGGCCTGACCCAAATAGGCTGGCCGACATAGCATGGCGGTGCTGTTTGGAACCCGGTGAAGTGTGGAAGGGTGGTTTCTGTTTCAAGACATGGATGTGCCTTTACCCCTCTCTTCCTTCCCTCCTCCCCTTGCCCACTTTTCATCCTTCTGGGTGCTAAGGATGGAACCCAAACCCTTGTATGTGTTGGGCAAATGTTCCGCCACTGAACTACAATGAAAACGAAAACCAAGAACGCCGTGGCCATTCTTGGGCAAATACTACTTAAAACAAACAGTCTGTGGTAAGATTTTTATTTATTTATTTATATTTTTTTGAGACATGGTCCTGGGGGGCTCAGGTTGGCCTCAGACTCTATGCACAACAGACGGCGGCCTTGAGCTCCTGACTCTCCTGCCTCTGCTTCCCAAGTATTCGGATTGAGCACATCCCAGTGCAGAGGGCTGGTTAACACAGAGCAGACTCCTAAGGTTCAGCTTCTTCCTAGAGTTAAGCTAGTGACTCATGGGTGCTTTCCCAGGGTTCCTTTAGCTCCTGGGGGGGAGGAAACGGGGCTTTATTGTGGGTAAAGGGGCCCAGGCTGTTACAAGGCCGTTTTAGCATGTTAAGCTGAGGTACCAGCCCCACACAAACTTGGTTTTTCTAAGTGTGGTCCAGGAGCTGCCTGTTTCTGAGTCACCAGCAGGTTATTAGAACTGTAGTTTGCTTCCAAGGCCAGTGAGCACTACTGGGGAGAAGTGTCTAGGCCCTCCAAGGGGTGGGCCTTCATGGGCCTGCGTGTAGAAATATGCCTATGTTTGTGTTACATACATCTGAGTATATTTATCACTTAGAACATGGGTGCTAATGGTGCCCTCTGATGAAAGAAACAAGGTCCCCCAAGGGAAATAGCTGATTTTATGATTGAGATAGCCAAATGGGCAAGCTGAGCCTGGGACACCCCATGGTTCCCAAAAACTAAGGAAGTGTTCAAACTAACCCACTCACACAATGGGGCCAAGAGACACAGAAGCCAGCTGAAGAACTTTCCACTGCCCAAAGTTGGAGCCATTAATAGCAAACAAGATTAAAAATCCTGAAGTCCCACGTACTCTTCAGGAAAACACACACACACACACACACACACACACACACACACACACACACACACACATCTGGCTGAGGGTAAGGGACAGGCAACAGTGCGGGCATGGGAATGCCCCAGAAGCAGCACAAGTACGGACTCATTCTCAGCCATGCAGCAAGTTTGAGGCTAGCCTGGGCTACCTGAGGTCTCTCCCATCTCCCTGGGGGGAAAAATTCAAACAACCCAGTCTCCCCCACCAAAAAAAACAAAACAAAACAAAACACGTCAATACAGCAGCAGGAGCTTGTCAAAGTCATAAAACTGGGGGTCCAGGTGAAAAAAAAAATGCCTGAGGATATAAAATGTTTAAATGGAATGTGACAT